CACTTTTAATTGTTGGTGTATAAAAGGGAAATTTCTACCGTGTTACTTACTTACTACTGTCAACAACAGCGGCAGAAGTAAATATTATTTGCCTTTTTTCTAGCCAGTTGTAGTAACATGAAGCGTACTGAGAAACAGACGTTTTGGCTCATCCAGATTCTGCGCGCAGGTGACCTCATAAAACCGTATGTTTACTTGAGTGGGTTATCTTGTTTGTTCAACTATTGGAAAATGGTAAATTACAATTTAAAGTTACTTTACTAGAATCATTAGGACGAGTATCCTGGTAATCTGTTTGAAGAAAGAAAGCGTTACCCTCACCGATCAGGTGACCTAATGCACTTTTAGTTACACAATCATTTAGCTCTACCCAGATATATGATCGATAGATCGATCCATGTAATTTTTCGGAATCAAAGTCTTCTTGGGATAATACACCCTCAGTAAGATAGCACTAACATAGAACAATATACAAGAACATGAACATTTATAAATAGCTCACAGGGTTTAGACGGCTGAGCTATTTATAGAACGAGGCAATGCGCGGTCAAGATAAGAAACACATAGGGGACACACAGTGCAGCGATTTAACACGGTGGATACCGATAGTGTATACTAAAAATACTAAAAAGCTAAATAAATACACTAACATATTTTAAAACAGAGTGTCAAAAATGAGAAAAAAAAAAAAAAAAAAAAAAAAAACTATGAATAGAACACTCGATCCAAAGCAAAATTAAAGAAGAATTAAGCAGAATCAATCAGAGCACGTCACTAGGTGATTCAGGAAACATGGCAAGCGTATACATCGTACCATTAGACGCTACTTTGGCAGCCATCCTGGAGATGTACGGCGGTAATAATAATTGTAAATGAAGCAATCGAAAACTAGAAGACAGGCGGAAACGTCGGAGAGAGCGGAAAAGCTAGACTTGGAAGTCCCAGCAGAAGATAGTGCCACACTAAGTGGGATACTGTACCAAAGAAAATGAAAAATCAATGAAGAATTATATCGAGAACACAACAACGAAACTAGCTAAGACACAGGCCCAGACCTTATTTTTCGAATCACTTACTAAAGGATTTCATAAAGGACAAAAGTGACATCAACAGGAACAGAACTAAAACAAAGAAGAGAAGTAATAAGAAAAGAGTAAAAACAAAAAAAAAGTTAAAATCATTTTCATAGAAAAGGACCAGCTTATCAAGAAGATGCTCAAGACACAAAGGGCACAAATACAGGGGTTACAAAAGCAACGGAAGTACTTCGAAGACAACAAACTGATTGGAATAAAAGTAGGAACAGCATAGCGATCGAGGATGCAAATGCGTCCAACGACAGAAAAAATAATTAAGTCAAATATATCAACCATGTTTACCTAACTGGAAATGACAATGAATATGTGATAAACAACGTGAAGATCCTTGGGAACAATCCGTTTTTCTCTAGAAATATATATCGTAGTATTGTCGCAGAACTTAACAAAAAGTGCACCTTACAAGATTAAATAAGAGACAAAATAGATGATGCTGCGCAAGTAATTGGTTAGGCAAGACTTAAAGGAAAATCTGATGCGGTCAGAGACCGCCTAAATCAGAGTATTTGCAGTACACATCTCACCCGACTGTCGCCCGCATTACTTTGAGTAATTTCTAGCTGAGCTGTATTCCATTATGTAGACCATTAAACATAACCCAGTTCTTATCTGAGACTAAAATTTGTGGGTTCAGAAGAGAAAAAAATGATGATTCTAACTTACTGGCTAGTATTCAAGGGTCTCGTGGTAATTGATTGCGTTTCGTTTGATGCGGGAAGCCAGTCGCTAGTAATCTATCCGCCTCTCTCTAAAAGCTCTGCCTCTCTCTCTCACGCAAAAATTCAGAAAGCGGAAAGCGCTAGACGAGACTGAGAACTCAACCCATTTACTACATAACCTTCAATACGCAAATGAAGTGCCCAAAAGAAAGAAACAGATTTTCAGCGTACAGGATGTTTCGCATAGAAACACTAGTGAATTAATGAGGATGCTTACCGTTCGATGTGAGAAAGATGCCGTGATAACTATAGAAATAAATTCGTTCTAATCCTAATACGTATATGTTTGAGATCAAAACCCAGAATGATGAATAAAAATTCTATTTAGGGTGTACAAGAGAAAAACGAAAGTTACATTTCTAGAAGCGCCGATTATTGGCTTCAGCGTCGCACCCTTACAATGATGCATTAGAAACATTCAGACAACGTATCAAAATTGAAATGAATAAAAATGATTTTTTTTTTCTGTAACCAAGTGTATACGACAGTTTTTCTTGAGTTTAACACATAATCGTCATGAAAAAAAAAACTAATATCACCTAGACTATAGAAGCAGCTTTGCCATTGCATATAAAGCGATAATAATAATAATAATAATAATAACACGCTTTCTTCACGCCTACGCAGTGTTACGCAATATTCCGGTATCTCCATTGCAGGAGTTATTCATTAATCTCTATCCCATGTGTGGGACTAGATACGACGAGGTAAAGGAAGTAACTTACTACTAGGTTCCCTTGTACGAGAAAGTCCTTTGAGAAAGCTACTTTAGATCGCCTGATATGTGCTCGTCGTATACTGGGGCTGATAGCAACAACCCGCTTTTAATCTACACCCAATTCCCCTTGATTTAGTCGAAAAGGTTCGGGCACAGATTAAAGTTAGACACTCGATGGGGTTGTCTGCATGTGATGCCGCACTGTCATGTGCTGTCACCTGACGTATCGCTTAGCGAACGTAAGACTCGATCTTTATCCTTAACTGGAAGATTTTAATTCATAATCATCGCTGGACATCACCGACCCGCAAGTCGGTGGAGTATGGGTTTAGACGACAGGAACAGGTGACCAAGCGCGTCTATTGTCTCCGAGTGCATTTCAAAATATTGCTGATAAGTACTGGCAGACGCTAATGCACACACCTGGTTCCGTAATTATTAAGATAGCTTTCAGGTAAGCAAAGGCGGCCATTGGAAACACATTTATTTGGCGGTACGCATAGTGGTACGAAATTTTCGGAAGGAGTACAGCTTAGTTCCACTTTTCCTGCTCTTCAACTCTATAATTATTTTGAGATACTTTGCCATTTGACTATGTAAATATCGAAGTCTCAGTTGGATCGTAGTTTTCGATTACTTGTTACGAGTATGACAAAACGCTGTCGGGCAATTACTTCGTAATGTCTATGGACAAGTTATAGATGTCCGTATGTACCGGCGACATGTGCTATGCAGAGATCTATGAAAAAAGTGTCGGAATCTTTTAAAAAGCAAATTTACTTCAGTATCTAGTAACGGCCGCAGACGTAGGGTGGCACTTTCCAATTCTGACGGTAATACCAACTGCGTGAACAAATTAACTATCTATGTGGTGTCTACTGGAACAATTTAGAAAATTATTTAATTTTTAGAAGTATCTTAACCGTTTTTGGTACAGTGCACCGAATACATAATTTTCTGTACAGCATTATATATATATATATATATAGAATATTCCATAGAAATTTTCAAGCTAAAATTTTGAGTGAATAAAATTATATTGTTATTATGGATTATCGCGGTCTCAATCAAACGAATCTGAATCATAAAGCGGCTGAAAATTGAATTATCTATTTGAAAGCTTCCGGAGTAGTTCCGGAGAGCTATACTTCCGGAGTGGTTCAAAAACCTGCAAAAAGGTTATACTTAGCTGCCTTTCGTACCTTTTCCCAAATCAACATGTTAGATAGCGAATGCATACTTCACGCATCTCCATAGCCTAACCTACGTAAATTTAGTCTGTCGTTCTAGTATTCATATTGGGACTTTTCGTAAATAACATGGTGTATTTCTTGAGATTCGAAGCTTCAGCAAAGGAATTCTGTTTTGAACTTTTAAGAGGCTCATAAAATTATCAAAGTAATCGTATACAATCATCACTGAAGACAACGTAGACCCAATTGTTACGCTATCCACAAAGGCAATTTATTTACTTACGAGAGTTGAAAAGATGTAATAGTTTAGAGATTTGGTCGCATGATATAACAATAAAAACCAAATAGACGTTTTGATCATTTGTTTGTGCTGTTTGAACCAAGTTAAGAGCTTAAGTTGACCCAACGCGGAACTAAAAATACTCTTTGCACAATCGTGCGAATAATTTCCGCTTGCGTTGTAAAATCTATCGTAGATAATATATAGTACGACACATGAAAGGACATAAAAGCGCAGAAGATCGGGTATTGAGGTATGTCCAACGGTACTTACATAAGATGAATAAACCCACCCTGAAATGTTCTACCTGACATCCAAGCTACGAATGTAAGCCAAAAGAACAAACACACACGCAAAACATACATAGGCACCATCAGAAAGACCAGGTTGGTCTGACTCTGGGTTCTTTCTGGGTTTATTATATGTAGTAAATACTCATAACTATAATATTTCCGCCTAAAATATTTCTAAATCAGCATCGGGAAAGCAAATCTAGATGGCACTAAAGGAAAAAAACACGCGTACTAAACATCTACACAAATGTACAGTAACGGATTTATGCGCGCGTATCGACAAAGACAGAAATTCTAATAAATTACTAACAGGGAGCGCTAATCTATTTTTATACTAGTCGCGTAAACGTACGGTAGGACTTCCTTTCACTTCGTGGTAATTATGGAGCACCATGGTGTGCGCATTGTCATACCAATTGTAGATAACAAACGCGCTGCCAGTTCAGCGCTTGAAAAACTTTTAAGCTGATTTTAATAATCAGGGCACAAGTAATAAAGCTATGTTCAATAGCTGATATCGTGGTTGCTATGGCGTTTCATAGGTTTGTTGGAGAAACTACACTCAAGTCCGCCACCAACTCCGGTTAAGATCATAAAAGAAACAAATCCTTGATGCTAAATCTAAAATGGGCAATTCCCAGAGCTTATTCACATAAAATAAATGACTAGTAGTACTAAACATAAAAAACGGCACAGTAAGTGATGAATACATGAAAATAACCAGATAATATTTATTTACCTCCATGTACAATACAGTATATTTATGCTATATAGTATAATATACATTTTTACATAATTTATCTGTAGCAACCTTTGAGGTACTTCCGTTTTGGGCCATTATGAAGACATGAGTGATAAGAGGCATCAATCAGAAGCATCGAAGCGAACTCTAATGGTAGTTTAGGCATCCGAAACGTTACTTCTTAGCCCTTCCATCCACCTCCACCTCCTTTGATCTTTGTGATAATGTAGGACTTTCCACCTCCGCCCCCTCCACCATGCCAACCTCCGCCCCCTCCACCGGACCAGCCTCCGCCGCCACCGGACCAGCCTCCGCCCCCGAGTTTTTTGATGATGTAGGTCTTACCGCCTCCGCCTCCTCCACCGGACCATCCACCCCCAGACCATCCACCACCACCTCCTCCGGACCAACTGCCTCCGTAGCCCCCGCCTCCTCCACCGCCAAGAGATTTAATTATGTAGGTTTTGCCATAGCTGCCGCCTCCTCCTCCAGACCAGCTGCCGCCTCCTCCGGCCCAGCCACCGCCTCCTCCGGCCCAGCCGCCGCCTCCTCCGGCCCAGCCGCCGCCTCCTCCGGCCCAGCTGCCGCCTCCTCCTCCTCCGGACCAACTGCCTCCACCACCACCTCCAATAGACTTAACGATGTAAGTTTTACCACCTCCGCCCCCTCCTCCGGACCAACTTCCGCCTCCTCCTCCGGACCAACTTCCGCCTCCTCCTCCGGCCCAACCTCCGCCGCCACCGCAACGGGCCACACCGACTGCGACAGTGAGCACTAACTAATGGTAACAAAAAGAAACGATATGAAAACAACATACAATCCCACTTAACGACCGGGTCACGTGTGGCCTGTATTTTTGTAGGATTACCTAGAGAGTTGTAGATCTAATAAAATAACCAGCACCTGAATACTTCACTGATACGGGTTGCTTGTAAGGCGCGCCGCTAGGTATTGTCTTATCAAATGAAAAATCCATCAGAGAGCTGCTCCAGTACTTGAATGTACGCCCGTAAGGTTAAGCAACAGTTAGATGCGACTCTACTCGAATTTTTCAGCTTGATTGTATCGTGGCCTCATACCGACCAACGGTGTGCGTGATGACAGGGCGCAATGTGCGACACTCACCAATGCCTTCATTGTTGCTAGTATGCTGCAGCTGTATGTCACAGGTAACCAACTTGACACACACTTATATTGCCGACTGGAAAGGGCACGTGGCGTTGTTTACAAACTTTTGCTTTCTCCTGCCAAGGTCACGAGATTGGCGGACTTCTGGACCCGGGCGAAGCTTTTGCTGCTTATAGAACCAAGCGAAAACCCTAGGCTTCAAAACTTGCTTGCGCGCACCCAACAATGGACACTGGCTGAGCAACGCGTCGTAAAACGTCTACTATGCCGGTCTGCCGGGACCGTTTTGCGCCCGCCTTCGAGCGATACATCATGCCAGATGCAAGCGGCCAAATCAAAATATCGCAGCTGACTAACGCGCCAGCTCCTCGCCTCTTTGCCTACCATCTTTATCGCTGCGATCGTCACTCAAAATTTGGTAACCAGCATTGGCCTTTCATGGTTAATTTTTTGACTGCTATTGCAGTTAGTTATGCCAGGCCTGCATGCGTCAATTAAGGCGCCTAATAGGTGCTCATGTAAGAAGACAGAAAAGTCTTCTTACATGAGCACTAAAACCTTTCCAATCCTGATCTCTGCTTGTGTCAGAGTTCGCCGCGTCTGCGGCAAGAAAACGAACGACATGTCTGTATGACGAACAGGATTTGAGGTAATGGAAAAAAAAAATACTCGGACATTTTGTTTTAGTTGTATGTGCTGCTAATCTTGACCAGCTGTAGTCTCCATTTGAATTGGTCCCGTTTCTACACGTACTAAATTAGATTTCGACTGCGTGCTCCAGCGTAGAAAAGCTCTAAAAATAGAGATCAGTTATTGGCATAGTGTGTGGAGTAATGCTAAAGCACTAGGGCAATGAATACTAAGACGATTGATTAGCACGCCTATTGAAAAACGCTGTTCTAGGCGCTGCCATACAAGCGTACAAAATAAGAGCTCGTCCATAAAAAAGGTGAATATTGAAGGACAACATAATCGTCAGCATCATCTGTAAATCACCCAACACAAGATTACTTTTGTTCAGTAGAATATGCCACGTACCGTCTGACGCAGCTCCAATGAGGCAAGCCGTAAACATGATTTGGCCATTATCGATTCCGATTGTAGGAGTATGTAACCATTAATGGAAATGCACCCTGTTACGCTGTATAACGCTAAACGGACCTAGTTCAAGTAGGAAAGCTTACAGCATTTGTAAAGGCTAACAAGCGATCTTCATATCAGACTGGGCAGAGGACGGATAACACCGAACATTCGAGATTACGATGCATCCAGTCCCATCCGATTACTCAGAGTTGTCAAATTATTCATCAACCACGATGCCAACGCAAGTAAATACCGTATTATGTTAAACAAGTTGACCATTTACTGATCTGGGTTGTACTTCTAGTTTTTGCTATACATTAAACAACGTACTATTGTCCACCAAAGCTGTTTGGTCGTACTGCGATCTCGTTAGGGCAGTACGTTGGAAATTCACGAGACTGTCGTAACTCAATAGACGGCATAGATGTGCTCATATTTTTATTTGGCATTTCATGAAATCATATGTTGATACAATGATGGGCTTGTGTACGCGGGCGTTAAGTTGGACAGTACAAATTCGGGCGCTTACCGATCGCGACAGCGTATAAACGGGTTAGCGTTTGACTGCAACGGATTGAAGAGGTTTAACAAAAGGTAGCTCGTTCGAACTTTGTTCTCCCGCTGATTTTTTTCTATATTCAACGCTTTCTACGCTGTATCCGAACCGGTCGTTCTGAGATGTATCTGCATGATGTTTATTACTTGACGTTATTAGTATTTCGAAGTATCTCCATAGATTTTAATCGGGATAATTATAGACGGTACTCATAGAGATACTATGCGTAAGGCATATTTTCTTTTGAGCAAATTAAATATATTGAAGATAGTTGAAATCGAGCTGTCAAGCAAGGCTAACAAAACATCGTTGAATCGTCTGCGCGTCTAGAAAATGATTGTCATGTTTGACCTGGATAAACACAACAGAAACCTCGGGGCAGACCCTACAGTACGTCGGATGCGCACCAATTGAGCCTTCTGCTGTCATTTTAGCCCGTAATCCAGAGCCGACGGCTCTTCACGAAGTTCCAATCGAGGTGCCCCCTACCCACCATCATTTGCTCTTAATCAAGCCCGAATGTCTCTGGACAGCTTTCATTTCTGGTAAACGAGATAGATGAGTGGTAAGATCAGACAGTCTTTTAAGGCCTTGGCTGATTTTGTTTGCTGACCGTCATCCTGGATATACATTTCTGTTGATAAATTCTTTACGGTCCTGGTTATTTTTAAGATAATACAGCGGGTTTCGTATGTATACACTGTTTAACGGCTCGTAGCTGTCTGATTGTCCTTTGTTTTTTAGGACGTAATTAACTGGAGATAGCGAATGGACCAAGACTAACTCTTGAACAAGGAAAATTTTTTCAGCCGCTATTGTACGTATAAGTGTGGGAACGTAGTAGAAGTACTAAGGCAATATCGCAGGGAATTTTAACCAGATCCACCTGCTCGACTTACAATGAATTAGACAAAATATTAACTAAAAACGGATGAAACTGTTCAGGATTTTCATAGACGTTCCGAAGGACGAAAAACGCCGACGATCTTCATCAGCCACGAAAGAGTGCTGGTAAATCATTCAAATATCTCAAACAGCTGTAAGTCACTCAAGTCGTGAACTTAGCATTCGCAAGTTAAGCGTATATCGCATTTTAAATCACTGTAAATGGAAAATGTTAAAGTTCATTAATGGTACATGATATCAATAAAGATAATGCGGACGGATAAAAGCAGCTTTGCGAATGCTGTTTGGAAAACTGCAGGCAGGACGTATAATTTTCTGGGAAGATCGTGTGGAGCAGTGAAGGCCACCAAAATACCCTTGCTCTTGCCCAGACCGTACGCCAATGTACTTTTTCTTATACCTGTACATTAAAGATAAAGTACACACCAGAAAACTGACGGCAGTAAAAATCGAAAACGAGCAACGATGCGCCACAATATTAAATGAAATGTCTGTTGAGGTTTATCTACCAATAGCCCACCGTTATCAGCAGTATATTGACTAACAAGGCAATGATGCCAATAGAAACGAACCTTGTCTGTAACAGGAAAAGCTATATATATACTTCGTTACTTTGTAGTTGAAATATACGTTTGCGAAAATTGAAGCCTTAATCATTAAAACTGCCCATACATTCGGAACATCCTGGATGGACAGCCGTCTATTTTCGTATAGAATTTTGCTCGGGCGTTATAGTTGTCTCGCACTGTGACAAGCAAGGCTTTTTCTCCGCATGCTCGGTAGACAGAAATACGCCCGTAGATCTAACATATACAAATACAAGATAGTAATAAAGTTTAAAGCCAAGAGGCGTCCGAGAGAATCGTGTAGGGTAGTGATCAGCAATTAACATTAGAAAATCGTCACTATAAGCCTTCTTAGCTATCATGCCTGGCGTTATTTCTCCGTTATATATACGTTTGTCAGCCGAATGGCTTATTTAAACGGTGGTGGAAATCTACGTGTCAGCGGTGTGTGTACTAACGTCGCCGGACTATATCCTAGTAGGCTAGTCTTCGTAGGACAAAAATAAATTTTGTTCAACACGACATATAT